TGACGTGCTGCAGCACAGGGTCTTGATCGGTAGCCTGGCGGACCATGTCGGCAGTCACTGGGAGGATGCGAACAGCTTCGGAACCTACGTGGTTAACCTCTGGTTCCAAGGCAATTGTTGCGATCACGGTATCTTCTGGTTCTGGTCTGCTTGAATCAATGAGTCGGGACAGTGCGTCGGCTTGTCCCAGGCTGGTGGTGGACTGTTATTTTATCTTGAGGTCGTACCCCAGAAGCAGAGTGGCCCATTGCTGGAGCCGGTTGGCAGTATATGCCGGAATTCCTTTCTTCGAGTCAAACACAGCGAGAAGTGGCTTTTGATCGGTCACCAGGGTGAACTGACGGTCGTAGAGCCTTTTGTGAAACTTCTTAACGGTAAACAAGATCGCCAAGTCTTCCTTCCCTATCTGACGGTGGTGGCGCTCGGCTGAAGTCAGGGATCTGACCGCATGTGCAATGGCTTTCTGGCTGCTATCTGAAAATACGTGTGAAATCACTACGCCAATTCCATAGTTCGAGGCGTCCGACGCCACAACAATTTCCATCGATGGATCGTAGTGTGTGAGTAGCAAATCGGAACTTAGCATGGATTTGACAGAGTCAAAGGCGCGTTGGCATTCTTCTAACCGTGTTCACTTGTGGTCCTTGGTAAGTAGCTGATCTAGTGGGCCTCGAAGACGATACATGGCAGGCAGGAATGAACTGTAGTGATTTACGAGACCGTCTGTGGGTGCTGGCATACGTTTGATCGCTTCAGTGTTCTCCGGGTCTGGACGGCTGCCATGTTCGCCAGTAATGAACCCAAGGTACTTTATCGACCGCATGAAAAAGGTGCATTTCTCTCGGCGCACTTTGAAACCATATTCTTGAATAAGACTAAGCACGTAATCAAGGCGCTGCCACAGTTCGTGGGGATTGGAACCCATGACAATGAGGTCGTTCAAATAGGCGGCAACGCCTGGGGCATCCTTCAGCATCATATCCATGATCTGTTGAAATATGGCTGGCGCTATTTTGATACCAAATGGCAGTCGAGTGTACTGGAACAGACCTCGATGCGTATTGATCGTGAGCAGTTCTCGGGATTCTTCCTCTACTTCAACCTGGAGATACGCATCGGCCAAGTCAATCTTTGCGAAACATTTACCCCCATTCAGTTTCGCGAACAAGTCGTCTGGGAGAGGCAGAGGGTATTGATGGGTATCCAGTGCCGCGTTGAGACCGGTGGAGAAATCTGCGCACAACCGGATCGTCCCGTTAGCCTACTTTACCAAAACAATAGGTGCGTCCCAAACAGAGTAGTTGTTTGGTTGGAGAACACCCGCCTTCTGAAGTTGGTCCAGTGCTTGTTCAACGACAGGCAAGGCTGCATAAGGCACTGGACGTTTTGGCCTGAAGACTGGCTTGGCACCAGGGCGAAGGCACAGTCTGGCTCTTGCTTTTGTACACTGTCCAAGCTCGCCAGTGAATACAGATGCATAACTTTGTAAAAGGTGCTCAAATGAACGCTTTGGCAAATCAGTTTGTCCCCGTGCTGCTTGTATGCCGTTGCAAATAGAGTTGATAGGTTTATCCAGCAGATTTAGCTTTCCGATCCAATCTAGCCACATGACATCAAGTTTGGGGCATGACTTCAGGTAGCAGATGGCTTGTGCCGCCGAGTCATTAAAGTTAATGAGGCAGTCCACTTCGCCAGTCAACTTCCGTTTACCACCGGAAGCATTACGGGCCCCGCGTTCAGTCGGCTTCACACGTTCGTCCACCGAGCAGCGTGATATCGGAGCCAGTATCAAGTAGCAAACGAACTGAGATGTCGTTGATTTGAACCGTCAGGAACTTCCTTCAGCAAGCAAAATCAGCTTTGAATGTTGCCGTCACCGAGTTGGACCGCGATTCGTGGGCTGCACGGTGGTGTGCGGGTGGCTGCAGTATTTGAGGTGGAGACAAATCTTCGTTGTGGCCGCGACGTCTGCACCTGGAACATCTGTGACGCCTGAACCGGTAATAACGAGCAAAATGCCACTCACCGCAATGCCAGCAACTCGTGGGAGGCTTACCCT